AGGAGGAGGAGTAGGAGGAGGAGTAGGAGGAGGAGGAGGGGAAGGAGGAGGAGGAGGAGGAGGAGGAGGAGGAGAAGAAAAACAACAACAACGACCACAAAAACATGGTAAGATGCAACACTAAAAGATATGAACAGAAAGTCATATTATATTGTTTTATTTTGTTATGTTAACATCAAAGCTATATATAAAAAGGCTCTCTACTCTTCAATATTATGCCGTCTGAAACTGTAAAATAACATATACATGTACAATCAAAACATTAAAATTATAATAACATAATTACCTGACAGATTTTATCATCCACGAGACAGGCAAAGTCACATAATAATTCATCCCATATTTTGTTTTCCATGAAAGAATATCGGCACTGCTCCAGAGAGAGGCCTGGACTCCTATGACTGTAACTCTGACAAGCATTCCAACTTATTCGTCCCATTGCAAAAGCTTTGCTCTGCGCGCGAACCGCACCGCACCGCACTGCCACGCGTCGCGTCATGTTGTTTTCGCGACGTCGCTCCCACGCCAAAAAAGCGCGTGCTGAACACGCACGGCGAACGAAGCGCGAAGAGGCCCCCATCACCCCAAGGTAGATTAGCTCAGTGTTGCACACCGCCCACAAGGTTTAACGTTTTAAATCTTTGCTTAGGCCTACAGCAGAGCTTACAACAAAAATAATAAGAGTTGGTGGAGGTGGTCGGCAAATGCACGCGCTTGACGGTAAGCGCTTAGCGGTACAGATTTCACGTTTTGCTTGTTTGTTTTTTTAATACAGTTTTTATGTTTAAGTTTTGTTTTGCAGCTCTGCATATTCCTCTAATCAGAGCAAACAACTAGTTAGTTAAGGCCGTTGCATGCAACTTCCTGACTCCCAACAAAAAAACAAACAAACAAACACAAATCAAACCCAACGAATGTGATCCCCCAGTTCGCAAACACATTTTAAAAAAAAGGAAAAAAACAAATACAATTTTAAAAAAATATTAAAATAAAGAAGTTATGCCTTTGGTGAGCGGATATAAACGTGTAATATTACAACACGACCACGCCGCAAAAACAATATATTATGCACAGACGAAAATTTTTTTTTCCCTAAATAATGTTGTCAGCTAATCGGACAATCTGTGGACTACTATAATTTTGGAGATAATATTCTAAGAAGCTTGTTAGAAAATACAGTGGAAAATATTAGGAGGTAATACCAGTCCTGGGGACGCAGACAAACAAAATACGGACGGACAGACAGACAGACAGACAGATAGATAAATAGGCAGACAGATGGATAGATAGATAGGTAGATAGATAGATAGATAGATAGATAGATAGATAGATAGATAGATAGATAGGTAGATAGATAGATAGATAGACAGACAGATAGATAGATAGATGGATAGATAGATAGATAGATAGATAAATAGATAGAGAGATAGATAAATAAACAGATAGAGATAGATAGATAGATAGATAAACAGATAGATAGACATACAGACAGACAGACACACAGACAGACAGACAGATAGATAGATAGATAGATAGATAGATAGATAGATTGGTGTCAACCATAGTTTAACGACCTCACACTGACCAGTTCCAGTTGCCCATCTGTCCCTAAATAAATTAGTTTCATACTGACATCCTGTGTATCCATTCTCAATTGATTTGACCAGACATGACAAGGGAGATAGTGACAAAGACAGTGAACCCTAGATCTGACTGGTCAGTTATGAATCTCTCTCGCTCGCTTTCTGTCTGTCTGTCTGTCTGTCTGTCTGTCTGTCTGTCTGTCTGTCTGTCTGTCT